TGTGTGTGTGTGTGTGTATGTGTGTGTTGCATTCCACTCCATCTCTTTTTGGTCCCCTTGTAAGGATTCAGCAGGTAGCTCTGGGCGCACCCCTTAAAATCTGTTGCATTTCTAAGTCTTTTCCACCTCCGGTAAAGTCCGGGGTCCGGATTGGGGGGGTGGGTGGAGGCATGAGGAGGAAAGGAAGTGGAGGGGAAGGTTAGCTTGTCTTGGAATAGGTTTTAAGGAGGTGTCGTCACCAAATGGCTGAATCTGCTTTAGCAGAGAGCGAAGAAAAAGATTCCCTTTTCCAAGGGGTGGTGATGTTCCACTGAGACTTTTTCAGAACGAGTCCGAAGTTTGGAGAAGGGGAGGGTGACCAGCTGGTGATGTTAAACCCCATTATAGGGCGGGGGCGGGGGGACATTCAGTTCCTATCTAGTTCTTGGAGGTGGGGGAAGGGGTGAGGATTTTGTCTGGTGCGGTCCCCTGGGCAGTGCTTGTTGCTTCTCCGACCCCAGACCCCATTGCCGTCCGCTCCTGGCTCCCGTTATGTTTGGGGTAAGGATGAGAAGCTAGAACCCACATTTGCAGATTTTGTGACATTGTAGATGGGATTCTTAAAACACATAACCTGTGAGGCAGCCAGACACCTTTTTTTGGGGGGTGGTGGTGGAGGAAACCTGCTTCTCTGTTCTGGGCCTAGAAGCTATTAGCCCGTTTGGAAAGCATTTCTACGGTGCTTTTCTCCCCCACCCCCTTTCCCAGATGTAGCAGCCGCATCTGGTTCCGTTTCACCCCACACGGGTACACCGCAGCCACATTATTAACATCCCTCTTCCTCCCCTCCCCCTCTTCTAAATTAAAACTGGGGTTATTCAACTTGTTCTTACCACCTCCCTCCTTAAAATTACTGGAGACTTGGAAACTAGGCTTTCGGATTGGAGGAGAAAAAGAAAGTTACCGCGAGCCCAAGTTATTTAGTATCCTCCCGAACTAAGTATTCTCTGCTGCTGGGGGTGGCGTTTGGGTGCTCTCTAGATTGTGCAGAAAAGACGCATCTTGGGAGATGGGGCCAAGGTTTTCGTCTGTAGCACTTTTGGACGGTTCTTCTGCTAAAGGTGGCCTCTTTGGCTAGGAGTCTGGCCCAGAACCGGCCCTTATAGATGTTTCTGGAACCAAAGCATCGCTTTCTCTCCCCTTTAATTATAGTTGAAGAGGAGGCAGCGTCAGTCCCAGTGCGGAGCCGCCGGACCGCGGCGTCACACGTCTCTTTTCCACTCTCCCCGGAGCTAGCCGGGTGCGCAGCGGCTGGGGGCGTGAACTGTTTGCTGCCAGAGGCGCTCCTTGTGTGTTTTTAGGGAGTTACTTGAGCTGCAGCCCTCAGAAACTAAAGTGGGGTGTTTTACCATTTAAATAATGGCTGCAGCTATGTAAGCAGGGGTAGGGGTGGAGTGTCGAATTGGATTTTGAATATTCTTTGGGGTAGGAAAGCATCCTAGTGTCCAGCCAAGGGGTAAGTTGCTGCAGAGTGGGGAGAGTTGGTCCCTCTCACCCTCTCCTTTCCACTCTCTTTCAAATTGAAAACACTTCTCTGGTTTCCTTCTTTGGGCGGTAGTTTTGGAAGCTGTAATGAAATCGCACTTTCTCTAGACATGGTAATTAAGGTGACTTGTTTCCTCTGCAGATGTGCCCTGCCCTTTGCACCTCCGGACCAGTGCTTTTTTTGGAATACCGTCTAAATTGTAGAACCTTTGCCTTGAGACTGTTGAGCAGAAAGTGGCCATTTTCCTCCCTTGGCTCAGGCTCCCGGTTTCCTCTCTGAGGCTTGTTTAAAAGCTAAGTAGCAGGGCCCAAGGGACCTGCCTTCGTCTGGCTAATTACCCCCAGGCCCGGGTCATCTCTTTTCCTTTCAGTGACCAAAGACCAGCAAGCTCTGCCATTGCCCTCTGTCTGTCCTGATGGCCTGCCTCCTTTCCTAATGACTTGTTTACATATTTTCCTTAAGTTGGTTGGGTGAAGCTAGGGCTGCGCTGACTCTCAGGGTACTGGGTATTTGGGGATGGGGCCTGGCTTCCGCTGGGATGGTTATATACCGCATCAGTGACAAGCCCCTTGAAGTATCTGTTGCATTTACTCTTAGTCATAGCTGAGTGTCAGCTTTTTAATGAGAGTCCTCCGGATTGAGAGTACTTTCACTGCCTGCTTTTACCATGTGGACGGAAATGCCCATTTTAGAGATGTTTTCACAATAGGGATTTGGACCAAAGTAGACAGTCTTAAGGTGCTTCTTTTCCTTGGTCTCTGGCCATAGAGTATGTTAGAAAGTTCCTTTTGGTGCCTTTTGAATAATAAGTGAAGCACAGGGACAGGAAGAAATGGAGAAGGAGCATCACAGATGTTATCTCTTCCTCCTGGAGGGAGGGCAGGGATTAAGAATACATCCAGGAATCCCTAAGCCTGGGCTAGCTTTATTCCTGATGGGCTCCAGAGGGCAAGAAATTGAATTGAACATTGGGTTGACAGACTCCAGCCTTGGGGACCAAGGAAAATCCATAGATTTTTCTTTTAGTGGTATGCTTTTTGTTTATTTGAGGTATTGACCTGAAACAAGACCTCTAATAGGAAATTTGCTCCTGTGAGTTTGAGGTTTAGCAGCCAGCCTCTGAAGGCTTTTTTTTTTTCTCCCTTGCTTCCATTTCTTTAAATCTCTTTCATCAAAATGGCTGTTAGTTAAAGAGCTGTCTAGGAAGTTTGAGCCTGTTGCTGCTGGAGGAAAGGAGTTAGAATTGATTCAAACATCTTATTCTGAAAGAACCTCACATCACTTGAGTTTAATTTCCTCTTGGGAAATTTGCCTTGCATTTGTCTTCCCCAGAGCTCTGTAAAAGGTCTGAATGCACCAGGGATGGGTGGGAGTCCAGATGTAGAGCTTTAGAGAAGGTTCTGGTGTTTCCAGAGAGGATTAAATACCAGAAGTGGCTAGGATATTTGTTTTTCCCCTCAAAGTTGCATCTTAAACAGAAACCTCTCCTCATCACCACCACCCCTCTTGCAATAAAGAAGCAATGTTTGGCTTCCCTCCCTCCTGTCCCAGTAAACAGCACCCACCTGGGTGATGCTCCACTAGTATGACCTTTCTTCAACAGCAGGGTTTCATAGATAATGTGGCACAATTAGCATTTCATTCATTGCTAATTTTATATATACTTCTCACTTGCAAGGATACTGGACACTTCCTTGCAGAAACTCAAACAATTAGCATTTCCTTTGGACCAACTACACTTTTGTAAACTGAGCTGCCTTTTTTCAAAATACTTTTTAATAAAAGTATTTGCTTGCACTCTTCAACATGGAGTAAACATTTGGGAAAAGTGACCATTTCTGTTTGTGCTGCCCTCAATTCTGAGGCATCAAGATGTTTAGAAATTTCTCACTTGGTATTCTTTAGAATAGAGTTTGGCTGGCTAACAAGGCCACTAGCTATGACTCCCCTCTGCCCCCCCCCCCAATATACTCTGTTTTTAAATAGTATTAATACAAGTTGAACATCCCTGATCTGAAAATCTGAAATCCAAAATACTTATGTCATATTGGCATCTTAAAGTTTCAGTTTTCAGATTAAGAATGTTCAATGGCATAAGCTATGCAAATATTCCAAAATCTGAAAAACCTCAAAATCTGAAATAACTTTGGTCCTAACCATTTCAGAAAAAGAATACAGCCTGTGTCAGTTCTTGCTTGATCAGAATTTTTTTCTTCTATTCAGCCAATTAACAAATATGCCAGCATCTGCTATGTGCATACTAGGTACTAAGGGTATTGATAAAGGTTAGTTGGGCACAGAAGGGGATAGGGAATATAAAGAACAATAATAGCAGGCAACACAGGCCTCATGGGAGAGGAGCTGGTCATTTGTTTTGAAAATTTAGGGGAATGGGTTCCTGCAGCTACAAGGCCTAGAAAAGGCTTGTGGAAGAGATATAACTTTTTAAGGTGGAGTTCCAAGAATAGGAAACCCCCCAAGCACTGCAGAGGGAGGAAGGGCAAAAAAGAAACACTTGTATAGAGGAATTGAGATGAACTCAACTGCACTGTCCAGTAGAAATAGAACACAAACATCATGTAATTTTAGATTTCCTTGTAGCTACATTTGAAATTAAGTGAAAATTCATGGATGACATCAATTTTGAATGTATTTGTTTAGATTCTAATTATTTTTAAATTAATTTTTAATAATTTGGTTTATTATATTTATATTAATGTATCATATTAATATTCCCTAAATATTATCATTTGAACATATGATCAATATACAAAATTTTGTGGGGGTGCTAAGGAGTGAACCCTGGGGCTTGCTTATGCTAAGCTGGTGCTCTACCATTTAGCTATAAATACTCCCAATCCCAACATAAAAAATTAATGAGACACTTTGCATTCTTTTTTTTTTTTTTTTAATGCCAAGGGGAAAAAAAAGATCAGTGTTCAAGATCAGTGTATATTTTTCATTCTAGCACATCCTAAGGAACAGTAGCCACATTGCAGGTGCTAAAGAACTGCATGTGTCCAGAGGCCACTGAATGG